TACCTGAATTTTCCGACTTGCCAGCCGACAATCACCCAGCAACGGACGCACGCCTGGACCAAGCCGGAGCTGGTGGCCGCTGTGGCCAAGCCGCATGGCGGCGCAAGCATCGCCATCCATACCACAGCACGTGGAGGACCATGCTCCTTTCGGTGGTCCGAGCGCGTGGCCGTAGAGGTGCAGCGAATGGGTGTCGGCGGGACGGTGCTATCGCGCGAGATGGACGCCACCGACAAGTCGACATCGACCGCTCACGATACCGCGCTTCTCGCCACGCCAAAGCGATGCAACACAGATGTACTAGGCGGGCGATCACTGTAGGCTACGTCGTCGTCGTTACGGCGGTTGTGCTGGAGCGTCTGCGAGATGCTGCATGGGCATGGCTGTCCATGGCAGTCAATGGCGGACAAGCGTAGCGCTCTTGGCAGCACGCGTTGTACAAGTGTAGAATCTACAACGAACCAGCACGGCCATCGGCGCCACAGCTAACAGCGATGGTCTTGCATCGTGGTCATCCCAGCCTCCCTCTCGGAGCCATATCCGATAACGACCATGTTCCGAGCTAGAGGCCGCAGAGGAGTCTCGAGACCTGGATTCCGTCGCTGGATAGCTGCAAGAGACAGTTGGCAGAAGGAGCCGAGATGCCCATCGAGAGAATCTTCCCACATCGCCGTTTCGGGGAATGGAGGTGAGGGAACAAGTCGAGCCAGAGATATTGTGATGTCCCTTGTCCCTGCTGAGAGGAAGCTGGCTGCAAATGATGGATCTTGATGGAAAAAAGGCTTACCTTTTCTTAACGTGTGCTTGATTCGGAGTATAAATCGGGTGGGAGCCAAGCTCAATTCGTTCGGCTCATCGCTCGCTCACGGCGCGATCGTCGCGTAGTGCTCTCTTGAGCGTCTACTAGAGCTTGTATGGCGCGGTAGTCCTCTTGTGGTGTGCACGACAACACTACAGTGAACGCATGGGCTTGTCATGCTACCGAACATGAAAAGGTATCAATATGTCGAGTTGAAACATACAAGGGACAACATTCGCGCTTCGATCAGTTGTATATGTGGACCCACATAAAGTCATCGACATCGCGTCTTCACGACCACCTGGACGTCGTCGACTCGTGCCTGGTACATCGCGCGCTTGACCGTGTCGTCGACAGCACGCACCGGGAGCCATCAAATCCATTTGGCTTCACCCAGAGGTCGCCGAGATAATGACTGGCGTCAACAAGCTCGGGAAGCACCTCGAGCACATCCGAGAGGCGCATCGAGATGGTTCGCACTCCTTGGTAATGCGTAGCGTCTGGATCCCCACGCACGCCGTCGCAAGCGTCTCCATCAACAGCTCCGTCGACGACGAGAGGTCGCATTGCTGGAGGCCGAGCGTCTTCAGCGCAGACACAGACGAGAAGCTCGTGATGAAGGTCTCTGTTTAACATGAGAGAACTATTTCAATGTTTCGAGTTTATTGGGAAGCAAGCAACAGCGGAACCCCGAAATCTCATCAAGGGCATTGATGTGCAACGAAGCAACTGCCCTCCACGCTGGCTTAAAAAATAGGTTTTGAAAATCGTGACGCTCAGGTAGAGAGCGACTTGCGATGTCTAATGCAAGGACAATGCGGCAAACACGGATGGATATCGTACGATGGCGCACCACTCGCCAAGCCCGAGGGTGGACATTACAAAGGCACACGAGTACATGTAGTCGCGGGGCGAGTTGCCCTACGGCAGGTGTTTCGGTTCGAATCCCAGCACATAGCCTTGCACACAGGATCCAAACGACACCCCTTCAAGATATTTTTTAGTCAATCACGAGCAATGACACATCCTGCGCCGCCAGCATCGAGTACTGTTGGCCGATCCCATGCAGAACGAGCGCTGCAGAGAAAGACATGGACAAAGCTGTGGATTCATCCCGAATGGCTTCGGAATCTTCCTTCGAGGCGCTCACTTTTGATGTATGATAGGTGCAGTGGCCACTTCGATGCGCAACGTGTCGAGCGTGCTTACTTGCTCGTCGACCCGATCACGCTCGACACATACGAGTGCATATCGCTAATGGGCTTCCACCGCTGCCTGGACATGGACGACGCCCGACAAAGCGGGACGCCTGCTGCGCTTCCTCGCCGTCACAGAAAAGGGTTTGTCTGGAGCCCCCACAACCGCCACCTCCGTCCAGACAAGTGCTGTCCGAGCTTGGGGTCGCGGGAAAAGCCACCCAAGAAGCCGCGAATGACAAAAAAAATATATCGCCCTGTCCAGTACTACAGTGGCCCTCCCTCGTAGTACACAGTAGACTGGGTATGATGGCAGCCATCCAACCACTTGATGAGCCTCGCGGTATACTCCTCGCTGGGTGTACTGCCTACCGGCCATCACGGGTGGAGGCCCACGATGGGGCCGTTGGCGGAGCGAACCGCCGTGTCCCAACGGCGACAGCGCCACGGTCGTTCATTGGTGCACCAACCGTCCAAACTTGAGGTAGTACTACCGTTCTATTGGAAGACTACCGGTCGACGACGCCTCTCAGAAAGAGTCTGGTTCGACGCCAACGAGGTGTGATGCTGAATCTGGTCGGGCCCTCTCTCGTGCCTGTCGCCGAGGACCTCAGCGCTGCCATCGTGGCGGCTGTGCTCTGCGCCTCGCTGCTGCTGACGGCGGGCATTCTGCAGCAAGGAGCGCAACCCTCAATGTTCCAAGACGGCTTGATCTTCTTCAGGCCAGTGTGCCACGTGGCAGCCGATCACATTATGGACGCCGCGACAAACGACGCCGGGGTGGCGGAGATACCGCCTGCAAGCAGCGCGCCACCAGGTTCGATCGGCGCCCAGTTCGTGCTGGCGTCGCGTCTCCCAACGCTCACGCTGCTGCTCACGGTCGTCGTCGTCGTCGGTGCAGTCGTCGTCGCGTCAACGGCGACAACTTAATGCATCATGCCGAGTGTATATAACCTGGGATATGAACGCGGCGGCGGCAGGTGGTCGGCCGTACCTATACTTTAGACAAGTTGTTGCAATGAATTTTTACGGGGAATTCCCGTTCTGCAACGGTCGCCGTTCGTTCCGGATACGTCCACATACAAACGCGGCATCAACCCGATCCGGCATCCGGATGATGGCCATCAATGACATGCTGCCTCACTGTGGCAGAGGGCTCGTCGGCGTCGCGCAGATGGTCG